GGTGTGTGATCCCGGTGTGTGATCCCGGTGTGTGATCCCTGTGTGTGATCCCTGTGTGTGATCTCTGTGTGTGATCCCTGTGTGTGATCCCTGTGTGTGATCCCAGTGTGTGATCCTGGTCTGTGATCTCTGTGTGTGATCCCAGTGTGTGATCCCGGTGTGTGATCCCAGTGTGTGATCCTGGTGTGTGATCCCGGTGTGTGATCCCGGTGTGTGATCCCTGTGTGTGATCCCGGTGTGTGATCCCAGTGTGTGATCCCGGTGTTGCAGGAGCAGCTCCAGCAGGGAGAGCTCCATCCATCCCCACAGGAGCAGGGGTTGGGGTGGGGTTGGGTGGGGTGGGGTGATACCTCTCTGACATAGACCTCCATGAAGCCAGAGATGAACCCGTCCTCCTCCAGGGCGATGATGAGGTCGACGCCGGAGACGAAGGAGAACACCACGAACACTGTGGGGGGGGAGCCAGGGCAGCTCTGCCAGGGGCCCACGGCTCCCCCCAGATCCCAAATCCCACACCCCACAGCCTGGGGGGGCTCTCACCACAGAACAGGGGGTCCTGGAAGTGGCTGATGCCGCCGCCGAGGAGGATGACGGAGAAGAGGCCGAGGAGCACCAGGGTCACCGTCAGCACCAGCAGTGGGGGGTTGCTGTGGGGCAGAGGGGGGGTCCAGCACCAGGCACAGCCCGGGGGTGAAGCCCCATTTCCCCCCTGCCCACGGGAAACGCTCCTCACCCCCCTGATCTTTGGGGTCAGGATCAGGCCCCGCACCCCAAGGGGGGTCCCGGCACTGCCCAAACTCTGAGAGGGGAAAACGGCTCCTCTGGGGTCTGAAACAGCCCCGGGGGGGTGAATCCCAAAGGGAGGGAGGAACCTGACATTCCAGCGGGGTGGGGAAGGGGCTGCCTTGGCAAGGCTCCCCCCGATCTCGGACAGGCCCAGCCCCCTGTCCCGGGTGGACCCCACGATCCGGGATGGATTCCCTGGATTCCCTGTCCCGGGACAGCCCCAGCCCCCCACCCAGGACACGCTCCCTGTTCTCCAGGTCCGGGTGGGACCCCGGGACGGGGATTGG